GCTGTAGACTTGGGGACAGGTATGTGACCTGAATCTTGCCGCACACTGCTGTAGACTTGGGGACAAATATGTGACCTGAATCTTGCCACACACTGCTGTAGACTTGGGGACAGGTATGTGACCTGAATCTTGCCACACACTGACACAGACATGGGGACAGGTATGTGACCTGAATCTTGCCACACACTGACACAGACATGGGGACAGGTATGTGACCTGAATCTTGCCACACACTGCTGTAGACATGGGGACAGGTGTGTGACCTGAATCTTGCCACACACACACTGTAGACATGGGGACAGGTATGTGACCTGAATCTTGCCACACAATGATTCAGACATGGGGACAGGTATGTGACCTGAATCTTGCCACACACTGCTGTAGACATGGGGACAGGTATGTGACCTGAATCTTGCCACACACTGCTGTAGACATGGGGACAGGTATGTGACCTGAATCTTGCCACACACTGACACAGACATGGGGACAGGTATGTGACCTGAATCTTGCCACACAATGATTCAGACATGGGGACAGGTATGTGACCTGAATCTTGCCACACACACCGACACAGACATGGGGACAGGTATGTGACCTGAATCATGCCACACACTGATACAGTCATGGGAACAGGTATGTGACCTGAATCTTGCCACACACTGATACAGACATGGGGACAAGTATGTGACCTGAATCTTGCCACACACTGCTGTAGACATGGGGACAGGTATGTGACCTGAATCTTGCCACACACACTGCTGTAGACATGGGGACAGGTATGTGACCTGAATCTTGCCACACACTGCTGTAGACATGGGGACAGGTATGTGACCTGAATCTTGCCACATACTGTTGTAGACATGGGGACAGGTATGTGACCTGAATCTTGCCACACACTGCTGTAGACTTGGGGACAGGTATGTGACCTGAATCTTGCCGCACACTGCTGTAGACTTGGGGACAGGTATGTGACCTGAATCTTGCCACATACTGTTGTAGACTTGGGGACAGGTATGTGACCTGAATCTTGCCACACACTGACACAGACATGGGGACAAGTATGTGACCTGAATCTTGCCACACACTGACACAGACATGGGGACAGGTATGTGACCTGAATCTTGCCACACACTGACACAGACATGGGGACAAGTATGTGACCTGAATCTTGCCACACACTGACACAGACATGGGGACAGGTATGTGACCTGAATCTTGCCACATACTGTTGTAGACATGGGGACAGGTATGTGACCTGAATCTTGCCACACACACCGACACAGACATGGGGACAGGTATGTGACCTGAATCTTGCCACACACTGATACAGACATGGGGACAGGTATGTGACCTGAATCTTGCCACACACACTGCTGTAGACTTGGGGACAGGTATGTGACCTGAATCTTGCCGCACACTGCTGTAGACATGGGGACAGGTATGTGACCTGAATCTTGCCACATACTGTTGTAGACTTGGGGACAGGTATGTTACCTGAATCTTTGCCACACACTGACGGCACAGACATGGGGACAAGAGTATGTGACCTGAATCTTGCCACACACTGACACAGACATGGGGACAGGTATGTGACCTGAATCTTGCCACACACTGACACAGACATGGGGACAGGTATGTGACCTGAATCTTGCCACACACTGACACAGACATGGGGACAGGTATGTGACCTGAATCTTGCCACCACATACTGTTGTAGACATGGGGACAGGTATGTGACCTGAATCTTGCCACACACTGACACAGACATGGGGACAGGTATGTGACCTGAATCTTGCCACACACACTGATACAGACATGGGGACAGGTATGTGACCTGAATCTTGCCACACACTGCTGTAGACATGGGGACAGGTATGTGACCTGAATCTTGCCACACACTGCTGTAGACATGGGGACAGGTATGTGACCTGAATCTTGCCCACACACACACTGAATCTTGCCACACTGCAGACATGGGGACAGGTATGTGACCTGAATCTTGCCACACACTGACACAGACATGGGGACAGGTATGTGACCTGAATCTTGCCACACAATGATTCAGACATGGGGACAGGTATGTGACCTGAATCTTGCCACACACACCGACACAGACATGGGGACAGGTATGTGACCTGAATCATGCCACACACTGATACAGTCATGGGAACAGGTATGTGACCTGAATCTTGCCACACACTGACACACAGACATGGGAACAGGTATGTGACCTGAATCTTACCCACACACTGCTGTAGACATGGGGACAGGTATGTGACCTGAATCTTGCCACACACTGCTGTAGACATGGGGACAGGTATGTGACCTGAATCTTGCCCACACACTGCTGTAGACATGGGGACAGGTATGTGACCTGAATCTTGCCACACACACTGACACAGACATGGGGACAGGTATGTGACCTGAATCTTGCCACACACTGCTGTAGACTTAGGGACAGGTATGTGACCTGAATCTTGCCACACACTGCTGTAGACTTGGGGACAGGTATGTGACCTGAATCTTGCCACATACTTTTGTAGACTTGGGGACAGGTATGTGACCTGAATCTTGCCACACACTGACACAGACATGGGGACAAGTATGTGACCTGAATCTTGCCACACACTGACACAGACATGGGGACAGGTATGTGACCTGAATCTTGCCACACACTGACACAGACATGGGGACAAGTATGTGACCTGAATCTTACAGGTATGTGACTCCCACACACTGACACAGACATGGGGACAGGTATGTGACCTGAATCTTGCCACATACTGTTGTAGACATGGGGACAGGTATGTGACCTGAATCTTGCCACACACACACAGGTATGTGACCTGACACAGACATGGGGACAGGTATGTGACCTGAATCTTGCCACACACTGACACAGACATGGGGACAGGTATGTGACCTGAATCTTGCCACACACTGCTGTAGACTTGGGGACAGGTATGTGACCTGAATCTTGCCTTCTGTAGCACACACTGCTGTAGACTTGGGGACAGGTATGGTATGACCTGAATCTTGCCACATACTGTTGTAGACTTGGGAACAGGTATGTGACCTGAATCTTGCCACACACTGACACAGACATGGGGACAAGTATGTGACCTGAATCTTGCCACACACTGACACAGACATGGGGACAGAGTATGTGACCTGAATCTTGCCACACACTGACACAGACATGGGGACAGGTATGTGCCCTGAATCTTGCCACATACTGTTGTAGACATGGGGACAGGTATGTGACCTGAATCTTGCCACACACCGACACAGACATGGGGACAGGTATGTGACCTGAATCTTGCCACACACTGATACAGACATGGGGACAGGTATGTGACCTGAATCTTGCCACACACTGACACAGACATGGGGACAGGTATGTGACCTGAATCTGGGATCTTACCACCTGCACACTGCTGTAGACTTGGGGACAAGTATGTGACCTGAATCTTGCCACACACACTGCTGTAGACTTGGGGACAAATATGTGACCTGAATCTTGCCACACACTGCTGTAGACTTGGGGACAGGTATGTGACCTGAATCTTGCCACACACTGACACAGACATGGGGACAGGTATGTGACCTGAATCTTGCCACACACTGACACAGACATGGGGACAGGTATGTGACCTGAATCTTGCCACACACTGCTGTAGACATGGGGACAGGTATGTGACCTGAATCTTGCCACATACTGACACAGACATGGGGACAGGTATGTGACCTGAATCTTGCCACACAATGATTCAGACATGGGGACAGGTATGTGACCTGAATCTTGCCAGACACCTGCTGTAGACATGGGGACAGGTATGTGACCTGAATCTTGCCCACACACTGCTGTAGACATGGGGACAGGTATGTGACCTGAATCTTGCCACACACTGACACAGACATGGGGACAGGTATGTGACCTGAATCTTGCCACACAATGATTCAGACAAGGGGACAGGTATGTGACCTGAATCTTGCCACACACCGACACAGACATGGGGACAAGTATGTGACCTGAATCTTGCCACACACTGATACAGACATGGGGACAGGTATGTGACCTGAATCTTGCCACACACTGCTGTAGACATGGGGACAGGTATGTGACCTGAATCTTGCCTTACTGCTGTAGACATGGGGACAGGTATGCTTGTAACCTGAATCTTGCCACACACACTGCTGTAGACATGGGGACAGGTATGTGACCTGAATCTTGCCCACACACTGTAGACATGGGGACAGTTATGTAGACATGGGGACAGGTATGTGACCCTGAATCTTGCCACACACTGCTGTAGACTTGGGGACAGGTATGTGACCTGAATCTTGCCACACACTGCTGTAGACTTGGGGACAGGTATGTGACCTGAATCTTGCCACACACTGCTGTAGACTTGGGGACAGGTATGTGACCTGAATCTTGCCACACACTGACACAGACATGGGGACAAGTATGTGACCTGAATCTTGCCACACACACTGACACAGACATGGGGACAGGTATGTGACCTGAATCTTGCCACACACATACTGTTGTAGACATGGGGACAGGTATGTGACCTGAATCTTGCCACACACCGACACAGAAATGGGGACAGGTATGTGACCTGAATCTTGCCACACACTGATACAGACATGGGGACAGGTATGTGACCTGAATCTTGCCACACACTGACACAGACATGGGGACAGGTATGTGACCTGAATCTTGCCACACACTGCTGTAGACATGGGGACAGTTATGTGACCTGAATCTTGCCACACACTGCTGTAGACATGGGGACAGGTATGTGACCTGAATCTTGCCACATACTGTTGTAGACATGGGGACAGGTATGTGACCTGAATCTTGCCACACACTGCTGTAGACTTGGGGACAACATCTTTATTTGTAAAGATTTCTTTCTATGAAATCTTTTAAGATTAGCATCTGTTATTCTGAGTTGCTCTGTGCTACCACAAAATTGTTCCTCGTAATGCAGAAGCCACAATCCGCTTCCTGAAAGCCAAGCTGAGGGTAATGCAAGAAGAACTAGACCGATTGTCACAGGAGACACGCAACAAAGTGAGTCTGAACCAGCAGTCTGGTCTGTTATATTTTGAACTGATCAAGTACATGTGTAATATTCTGAACTGGTGAAGTCGATGATATAACTGATGTTTAGAAAGCTGATTAGATTTGTGTATATGTGTGATTCAGGATGAAGAGTTGAGGCAGGTCAGCAGCCGTGTGTGTTTGTGTGATTCAGGATGAAGAGTTGAGGCAGGTCAGCAGCCGTGTGTGTTTGTGTGATTCAGGATGAAGAGTTGAGGCAGGTCAGCAGCCGTGTATGTTTGTGTGATTCAGGATGAAGAGTTGAGGCAGGTCAGCAGCCGTGTGTGTTTGTGTGATTCAGGATGAAGATTGAAGAGTTGAGGCAGGTCAGCAGCAGCGTGTGTTTGTGTGATTCAGGATGAAGAGTTGAGGCAGGTCAGCAGCCAGGTGTGTTTGTGTGATTCAGGATGAAGTGTTGAGGCAGGTCAGCAGCCGTGTGATTCAGGATGAAGTGTTGAGGCAGGTCAGCAGCCGTGAGGCAGGTATGTTTGTGTGATTCAGGATGAAGAGTTGAGGCAGGTCATCAACCGTATGCGGGATGTGGAGGAGGAGCGTGGACGACACATGAGGACAGTGGCCACACAACAGACACAGATTGACAAGTACAAGAAATTAGCAGAGGATGCCCGGAGCAAATCTGACAGCGTAGAGAATCAACTGAGTACATTGAGGAAGGTAGAGTAATTTGTGTTTGTACTCTGAAAAATATCATGAGCGAGTTTGAGAGTTGTTGGTTATAAGATCTTCTCCGCTCTAATCAGGTTTGACTCCTTCAGAAATGAAGCCAGTGAAGTCTGCCCTTCCAAGTTGACATGTTTTGCTGGTGCAGGTGAAATATTTTTATGTTGTCATGAAATCACTATACCACAGGCACCAAGTGTAATCTGATTCTTGGTGCCCATGTATAGGGTCAAGGTCGGACGACTTGTTATGGTCATATCCCAGAAATGTGTACTGTGAGTATGGTTTTATGTTTACAGCATCACATCAGTTTGGAAGTGAACATGTTTGAGGTCTGTTGCAGAAAATAATCTTGGTAAACACTTGTGATTATGTTAGATTGAATCTTTGTAACACTTTGAGTCTCTGAGTTCTGGTGGATAGTGAATGGAAGATTGTTGGTTTGGTCACATTCCAAGATATGTTTGTAAATGGTGCAGTACTTGTTTCCCTGCCTGGTGTGGTGCAGTACTTGTTTCCCTGCCTGGTGTGGTGCAGTACTTGTTTCCCTGCCTGGTGTGGTGCAGTACTTGTTTCCCTGCCTGGTGTGGTGCAGTACTTGTTTCTCTGCCTGGTGTGGTGCAGTACTTGTTTCCTCTGCCTGTTGTGGTGCAGTACTTGTTTTTCCTGCCTGGTGTGGTGCAGCACTTGTTTCCCTGCCTGGTGTGGTGCAGTACTTGTTTCTCTGCCTGGTGTGGTGCAGTACTTGTTTCCCTGCCTGGTGTGGTACTTGTTTCCCTGCCTTGTTTCTTGTTTCCTGCCTGGTGTGGTGCAGTACTTGTTTCCCTGCCTGGTGTGGTGCAGTACTTGTTTCCCTGCCTGGTGTGGTGCAGTACTTGTTTCTCCTGCCTGGTGTGGTGCAGTACTTGTTTCCCTGCCTGGTGTGGTGGCAGTACTTGTTTCCCTGCCCTGGTGCGGTGCAGTACTTGTTTCCCTGCCTGGTGTGGTGCAGTACTTGTTTCCCTGCCTGGTGTGGTGCAGTACTTGTTTCCCTGCCTGGTGTGGTGCAGTACTTGTTTCCCTGCCTGGTGTGGTGCAGTACTTGTTTCCCTGCCTGGTGTGGTGCAGTACTTGTTTCCCTGCCTGGTGTGGTGCAGTACTTGTTTCCTGCCTGGTGTGGTGCAGTACTTGTTCCCTGCCTGGTGTGGTGCAGTACTTGTTTCCCTGCCTGGTGTGGTGCAGTACTTGTTTCCTGCCTGGTGTGGTGCAGTACTTGTTTCCCTGCCTGGTGTGGTGCAGTACTTGTTTCTCTGCCTGGTGTGGTGCAGTACTTGTTTCCCTGCCTGGTGTGGTGCAGTACTTGTTTCCCTGCCTGGTGTGGTGCAGTACTTGTTTCCCTGCCTGGTGTGGTGCAGTACTTGTTTCCCTGCCTGGTGTGGTGCAGTACTTGTTTCCCTGCCTGGTGTGGTGCAGTACTTGTTTCCCTGCCTGGTGTGGTGCAGTACTTGTTTCCCTGCCTGGTGTGGTGCACTTGTTTCTCTGCCTGGTGTGGTGCAGTACTTGTTTCTCTGCCTGGTGTGGTGCAGTACTTGTTTCCCTGCCTGGTGTGGTGCAGTACTTGTTTCTCTGCCTGGTGTGGTGGTGCAGTACTGGTTGTTTCCCTGCCTGGTGTGGTGCAGTACTTGTTTTCCCTGCCTGGTGTGGTGCAGTACTTGTTTCCCTGCCTGGTGTGGTGCAGTACTTGTTTCTCTGCCTGGTGTGGTGCAGTACTTGTTTCCCTGCCTGGTGTGGTGCAGCACTTGTTTCTCTGCCTGGTGTGTGGTGCAGTACTTGTTTCTCTGCCTGGTGTGGTGCAGTACTTGTTTCTCTGCCTGGTGTGGTGCAGTACTTGTTTCTCTGCCTGTGTGGTGCAGTACTTGTTTCCTCTGCCTGGTGTGGTGCAGTACTTGTTTCTCTGCCTGGTGTGGTGCAGTACTTGCACTTGTTTCTCTGCCTGGTGTGGTGCAGTACTTGTTTCTCTGCCTGGTGTGGTGCAGTACTTGTTTCTCTGCCTGGTGTGGTGCAGTACTTGTTTCTCTGCCTGGTGTGGTGCAGTACTTGTTTCTCTGCCTGGTGTGGTGCAGTACTTGTTTCTCTGCCTGGTGTGGTGCAGTACTTTTTCTCTGCCTGGTGTGGTGCAGTACTTGTTTCTCTGCCTGGTGTGGTGCAGTACTTGTTTCTCTGCCTGGTGTGGTGCAGTACTTGTTTCTCTGCCTGGTGTGGTGCAGTACTTGTTTTCCCTGCCTGGTGTGGTGCAGTACTTGTTTCCCTGCCTGGTGTGGTGCAGTACTTGTTTCTCTGCCTGGTGTGGTGCAGTACTTGTTTCTCTGCCTGGTGTGGTGCAGTACTTGTTTCTCTGCCTGGTGTGGTGCAGTACTTGTTTCTCTGCCTGGTGTGGTGCAGTACTTGTTTCCCTGCCTGGTGTGGTGCAGTTCTTGTTTCCCTGCCTGGTGTGGTGCAGTACTTGTTTCCCTGCCTGGTGTGGTGCAGTACTTGTTTCCCTGCCTGGTGTGGTGCAGTACTTGTTTCCCTGCCTGGTGTGGAAGGTGATAAAACAAGGACTGGTTGGAACAGAGTCGGCAAACTGTATTACAACTCAAACCCTTGTTAAAACTCCTCTTCTGACCTCAACGTGCATTATGACTATTGACTAGACTTTTCTAACTTTTCAGTCAGTCCCTGATTATGAAAACTACCTCATCATGCAACTACAAAAGCATGAGAATTGATAATTAACACTTTTACTAAGCTGAGGATATGTACATCTACTTGTAGTTGAGGTCTCCAAATCATGGTTTTGTTTTCCAAGTCAGCGGGTCAAATCAAAGTACTTGGGAAACTCAAGGAAAACAAACTTCTTCCTAAACAACTTCTGAGAAATATATGTGATTTTATCGGTCAATGGGATTTGTTGTTTTCATGTCAATTATTAGTGTCAGTAAGAGGGATATGAGGCCATGTTTGGTTTGAAACATTCTTCTTAAGATGCTCATTAGATAGTCTAATGGTGCTCGTCTCACACTGTGCGAGTCTAGTGGAATGTTTATATTAACCAGTGGAAAACACTCCTTAAGATTTGGTATGGACTTAGTGAGTACATTTGTGTTAAAGAATTATTACCCAACACATCAATGACTGGATCACAATTACTGGATATAGTTCCCTATCAAGAGCTGTGCATCCATCTTGATCAGATTAGCACAATGGAAAATATTCAATGCGAAAGGCCTTCAACAAGAGCTATTCCAGTCAAAGATGAAAAATACAAAAGGGGTAGAATGGAATCTTCCCCATCATTGCAGGATAAGAGGTTAATGCAGGGTATGATAACAGGGCTCAAAGTGTCTGGTTCAGATGTGAAATACCAACCCATACATGTAGGATATTGAAGTGTGACACTACATATTAAGAATAATGGCTGCTTCAGGCCCTGCGACACATCGCCTTAAACAATATGTCACAATTGCAGCATAGGCTTCCTGGTGTTGCAGAGTTGAGGGATACAATATTCACTGGTCAGCTGAGAATCAGGTTACAGTGTCTGAGTGGGTTATTCATGTTAAAACAGTGGCACATTTTGCTTAAGCGTGTGGACTTGATTAATTTCAAACAATGCGTCTATGACACTATCAGACATTTTCATCTGTGATTTGCTGCTAATGTAGAAGTGCGAAATAACAATGCACTCACTCAAATTTTCGTAATAGTTCTTTCTTAAGATTTTCTCATTATATTGTTGTGCAGGGCAAGGATCTTAGTGTACAGAATGACTAAGGAGATATATTCCATGGTGCATCTCAGCTTGTCTGTTTAATTATTCTTGTAGCTGTTTAAGAGAATAAACTTAGCATATACTCTGATTATATCCTGTAACAACAGTATTTAACATCAATATCTTGGTGTAAAAATGGATATACTAAGCAAAACAACATACTCAGTTACAAGCCTAAGATACCTGCAGACTGAGACTGAATTAAACATGAAGGTATGAGACAATATACCACGTGGGTTGATTATCGGGTCAATATCTTGGGTTATTAATTTTTATGAACGACCTCTCAAGGGGTTGGTAATCAGATAACCACCATCTGCAGCACCTTCTCGATATCCGACCGCGTATCCTCCTCCTCCTCGATCCAAGAAATAAGCTCCCTTCGCGGTGTGCTCCCAGCAAGCGGAGGAGGATACGTGGTCGGATATCGAGAAGGTGCTGCAGACAGTAGAATCGACCCAAAAGTGGACCTACCTTTCGCTAGCCGCCTTGTTTGTATGGAATGTCGTCTACAAGACCTGGAAGCATGCCAGCACACTGCCGCCCGCCACCTACCACGCAACACCGGTCCACAAACATGTCTACGAGACACCAAAAGATATGGACTCCCACCACATGCTGTAGAAAAAAATATATATTTGTACGCAATTGGAAATATAGTGTATAGAACTACATATTTTTGCAGCAATGCATATCGTGTACAAGAGAGGAATACGACAAAGCAGAGGCTGCATACTGGAAAGAGAACCCCATGGAGTATTCTTCTGTGGACAAAAAGCTACAAGAAATGGCTGGGGAAGGACCAATAGACCAACCAGCTCGTGTACTAGGCCACTTTGGCAACAATACAACAAAAAGATTTGCAAATCGCAGCAGAATGTATATCGTTGGGTATGCAGGAGGTATTATATTCTGTATCCCTGGTGGGACTGTTTGTTTCTAGCTGTATACTACAGACACCAGTCTATCTTTGTTTTTTGGTTTTTGGGTATTTTTTTGTGGTGTTGTGTTTTGGTTTTTTTGTTTCTTGATAGAAAAAGCTATTCCCGCTCGGTCTCTGGGAACAGCAACTCAACTTCTCGATCATCTTTCCTCTTCGATATGGGCGAGTGGCAGATTTTGCCCAGCCTGCACCGAAACGGTCCACTCACCAAACCTAGGCATTCTATTCCGCCGGCGTCTCGAACCTTTTCTCGTATCCTGTAGCCGTACACCGGAATTGTTTTTTCTCCAGTCGATGGAGAATCCAGTAGCAGCAACAGTTGGTTCTTCCCTTCGTATTTCGCTACGGCAAACTTGTGGCACGTGTAGATTCCTTCCGCAACGTCTGTGGCTCTTCGGTGTTCGCTGCATGGAGTGGCTGCCACTTCCATATCCTTGGGTCCGCCGTAGTTGGGCAAAGGGGTGGTATGCCGTCCCCGTCCCCATCGCGGATCTGCTTGTCCCGATAGCTGCCGGAAGATACAAGACTATTTCTCGCTGCATGGACAATTGGCAGACAACTCGTCGACGAGGCGTTGGTAGCGCAGGCACCAGAAGAGGCAGTCCTCGTTGTACAGGTTCTCTATGTTCGAGAGAAAGTAGTGGATTGGGATTTCTTCCGGACCCTCGACTGTGAGTCGATCCTCCTGGGGTGGAGTGTTGTAGTCTTCTATCGCTTTGTTTTTCCACAGTACGCATTTCTTGCTGTCGACGCAGTGGTCGGATGGACTACTGGGATCGCGAAGAAAAAACAAAACAATGACAACAAAAAGTGTCTCTATATACTCAAATGTTGAGTGGAGGTGCACCCTTTGGTCTTTTTCCTCTTACTTTAACATAGGATTTTTGCTGTGCGGTCCCTTAGCCCCATTGTGTATACTACTGGTTGGTTACCATATAACCCCCTAGGGTGGTTATCTGACCAACTTTCAGTGCCACACCGGGAACAAGGCTCGTCCTCGCCTCACCTTCTTCCCTGGTATCGCACCTTGAGAAGAATTTTTCCCTTGGCAGATCGGGTTTGACAACCCCATTCATCTACCTCAGTGTTTTTGTTGGTCACAAATTCAATAAATAAACAAACAGAGACCCATTCAAAATGATTTATTTTTTTACAATATCTGCACACTGCAGTTAATAAATTGGAACCGGCGAGATCTCCTTCCTGCTTTTCCATTCTCCTCAGGGTCACTTGAATCATCTGAAAAAATGAAATAGATGTTTAGACAGGATCCTCATAGATAGTTTTGTAATGAATACTTTGAGTTACAGCAATGGTTAATTTGATGATACATTCCTAGAACGTGAACATGACTTTTACCAACAAATTACATTCATCAGTATCAAGCATATTTTTCATGAAAATCTCAAATACCAATACACTTGGGGTTAGTACAAACTCTTGACCAATGGAATGAGAGTTAGGTTGGTGGGCTACTGTGGCCTATGAGCAGTGCATTTTCCCCTGACCAATAACGTTTAATTTCATTAGAAGAGTTCGTTTTAAATTTTCCCCTAAAATTACGTTTCCACTGGGAGAAAGAAAACATACCTTCTGGAGTTGAAGCCTTGTGTTCCGCTTTGCATCGTACTTCCTCGGTTTTGGATTCTTACTGGTGAGAATGCTGCTGACCATCTTCATTTGTTTTTCATTTACTCTCCTGTACACCTACACCTGCAACAGTTGTATAAAAACAATGGTACTATTGAACAATTAGATAAATTCCCCAATTAGGGGATGGGGTGTGTGTGTGGTGTGTTTGTTAGGTATGAAGATTTTTAAATGGGGGGTCAGGGGGGTGTGTGTGTGCTTTGTTGTGTGTGTGTGTGTGTGTGCGTAAAAGGCATCATCATTTTTGTACACATGCACTACGGGTTGGGGTGGGTGGGCGTGGTCAGCAATTTTGTACATGACAAGCAGGCAGGGTTGGGCTTGGGGGTGGTGAGGGGCCACTTGATATATAAAGTGTTATCTGTTTAGCCCATAACCCACGCTTGAAATGTATTCTATTAGGATTATTTCGACGGGTAGCGTTTAGGATTAGGTTTAGGGTTTAGGGCAAGGTTTCTTTTCATAAAAAACCCCATAAGCCTATATTCTTAGGCATAGAATGATTAAAAAAGAATACGGTGGTTACGGGAGGAAATCTTTCCCATATAGTTTAAGGGGAGCATTCACATTTTACATGCATCCCCATAACCCCCACCCAGCCCCACATGCTTAATATGACTACCAATATCCTAATATTTTAGAAAAAGGTACCGCTAGATAGGCGGTAATGAGTATAGCTTTTCTGAGTACAAATACAGATATAGACAAATGCTATGTAGGGCATGAAACTTACCAGATGGCCAGTTTGCTTCAAAATCCTGGAACAGAGTCCTCGCAGCTCGCTGAGAAGTCAAGAGCATCTCTTTGTCGCAATTCATTTGCTGTAATGGAAGTTTAAATCACGTGGTTTTACATTGCACGTGATTGTTTAGAGCTTCGACTTGCACGAGATTCTTGTGCAGGAGCGTATTTCGCACACTTATAGTCAGTTTGGGTTCAAATGAGAACGACAAATGATTAAATAACTTGAAATTGGGATAAGTGCACAAAACATAAGTAAGACACATGGTCCTGAAACCTCTGTACCCAACAGGATCTGAAATTGGATGTTTTTCTATCGATCACGGAAAAAGTTGTTTAGTAAGAAACCATCATGTAATGTTGTGCTATTTTCACGCTTCACACCGGGGGATGACAAACGGCTAATGGAACAGCCCCTGACCAGCTGGGGTCATCCTACCTGGCTGTGCTAAGTTGCACCTGAATGTGTGCGTGTATGTTATCTGACCAACTCTCTCGGTTCCATACCAGTATCGCACCTCGAGAAGAACTTTTCCCTTGGCAGATTGGGGTTGACAACCCAATGCCTCTACCTCAATGTTTATTGGAAACGTCTTCAATAAATAAATACAAAACCATTCATTTTTTATTTTATTATAATATCTGCATGTTGCAGTTAATAATATTTCAACTAGAATAAGAGTGTTTTTGACCTTGTGGTATATGCGAAATAACAACTTTAAGCTCGTGATTCGCTTCGATAACCACCTCGAGGTGGTTATCACAGCGAACCAATCGCTTTGCGATGTGGTATGATATGTGGTATGCCGTGTGTGTTTGACAGGAGGTTGAGCAGCTGAAGCGCAGTGAGAAGCAAGCCGCCACACGTCACAATGCTACAGAGGTGCGTCTCAACCGGGCTCTGGAGGAAGTGGAGAGATACAAGGAGCAGCTGCAAAAGTCAAAGTCCGTCTCTAAGGTAATTTGACATTTTCTCACACATCAATGAGGTAAAATATTGCTTGTGTGTTGTGAAGGATCAAAACCGACTCCGAGGTTTTCATCCTACCTACGAACCGACATATATATATCCCAACACGAGCTGAATTAGAAATTGTGGTGATTTCAACAATTGCATTGCTCGTGCTATGTTGGGGGAATATGTGCGCAATCGGAGTGCATAAGCAGTTTCATCGGGGTGGATGCATCGGCACAATATATTGGAAGTTTTCAAAAATGTGAAAATTTAGGGTTGTATTCAAAACAAGTGCAAGTAAAATAATTCAAAGTCAAGGGCTATTCCTCAGAAAATCACTGGGCAATTCTGTAGAAAATGCTTGGGATTTCTTGGAGAATGCCCGCGAAACTGCCTGCAGAGGTTTACTCTGTAAAAGTAGAACCTGGCGAGACAATAGTGATGTCACTGGAGGTTTCTAAGAAGGATTCACCCACCGCAATTACTATACTCATGCTACTCCTGTTCCTCAATATTGGTTAGGTAATGGTGACTTCTGAGATTAGTTTGGTGATGTCCAAGTTAGCTTGTGGCTGTCTGTTTACCATGGTGGCTGTATTGTAAATCTTTAGTGATGTAAATCTGGTATCTCCCAAGTCAGTGCATATGGTCAGTTGTTGTTTTTCACCACCTTTCTAACCATTCGGTTTCAGGTTTGTAAACATGTGCTCATTCCAATTGTCTTAGCAAATGTTTCTTCCAATGAAAATAGTTTGTTCAAATAGCAGTGAGTTAATTTTGAAGCCAGTTACTTGAGTTACTTTTGCAGAAGCTCAGTTGTTTAAGTCATCTTTGATGTTTCCTTGTACCTGTCAAAAGAAAATATTGTAAATGGTTTATGACATCAAATTTTCCCTTGTTCATACCAATTATGCATGACATTTTTTCCACATAGATTGTAAAGGTTTTTGTCAGAGGAATAGAAACAACTGTGAATGATAGTTGATTGAGGGACGGTGGGGTAGCCTAGTGGTTAAAGCGTTCACACGTCAGACCGAAGACCGGGTTCGATTCCCCACATGGGTACAAAGTGTGAAGCCCATTTCTGGTGTCCCCTGCTGCGATATTGCTGGAATATTGCTGAAAGTGGTGTAAAAATAAACTCATTCACTCACTCACTCTTGATGACTGCCACCATTATGTGTTTAGTTTCTTTACTACTTTGGTTTGTTTTGAAAAGCAGGGCTCCAAAAATGCACTCATCCAATCATATTTACACGTGATTGCTTATGCAGGGCTCCATAAATATACTTGTCTGCTCATATTGGAGAGCTGAAGCATGTGCTGGGAGCCAGTGAAGTGAACCAACCAAGCCAGTGCACGTTCAGTCATGTCATGCGTTTCACTCAAATATCTAGGATAATTTACACCTAAAATATCTCTCACAGTAATAATAGTGAGATTCATGTCTCAAAATATAGTTTAACTTACATGGCAGTGACTGTTCATTAATTTTGTACTGTCTCCCAAAAATGTCTTCAACTCAGAAGGTTAAGTACAGAACATGGTAACAATGACTAAGAACATAATCCTTAAACTTAAACATAAAAATGTAACTTGGGTGGTTGAAAATATTGTAGGACAAGTGGAAACCATATTTGATTGCTCTGTGGGTCAAGTTGGGTTTATGATACAGGGGTGGAAATAAGTTTAAAATTGCTAGTGTACTCCGGTACAGTGGCACATGTAAAGTCACTTGCCCTGATTATTTTCCCACTATACCAACTGTTTTCTTGCTGATTTTTTACAACATAATAAACACCGGTACAGTGTGATATACAAATTTGCTTGCCTGACAGAAAAAAACACTGGACTCGGACGTCGGGCAATGGGTTATTTCCACCCCTGTGATATATTTTGAGCTCAGATGTGGACACCATGAAACGATTGGACCACTGTGAGGTTATATAGTCTATATCATCACAATATATCTCTTAGTGACAAACCAGATCCGGGTTAGAATTGATCTTCAGTAACCCATGCCTGTTGTAAGAGGCGACTAACGGGATTGGGTGGTCAGGCTCGCTGACTTGGTTGACACATGTCATTGTATCCCAATTGCGTAGATCGATGCTCATGCTGTTGATCACTGGATTATCTAGTCCAGACTCGATTATTTACAGACCGCTGCCATATAGCTGGAATATTGCTGAGTGTGGCGTAAAACTAAACTCACTCACTCACTCACTCACTCTTAGTGACAACATCTGCCTCTCAGTTGGACAAATCTTGGTTCAGATGTCACCAGATACCCAACAACCATTGCTGTGATAGCACAGTTTTCATCAGTTTTTGTTGGGTTGTTTTTTCTCAGGATGTCAGTGACAGTGAAAAAAAGCGTGTTGAGCATCTGTTGGCTGAGAAGAAGAAGCTGGAGAAACAGAAGAATGAATTGATGGCAGGCTTCAAGAAGCAACTCAAACTCATTGACATACTGAAGAGACAGAAGGTAGTGCAAAATATCACTGATACAAGCTATTTATTATCCATATGGTTGAGTTAATGTATTCAATGTGAGCACATAACTTAAGCGGTAGCTGATTGGACGAAATAAGGCAGCATCACTAACAAACATGAGCTTATCAATCATCTTACTCAGGTACTCTCATACTTAGGATGTATTCTGTTTCCAGACCTGTGATGATGCAGGTTATAATTGGTGTTCAGTAACGCATGCTTGTTGTGATTAATGGGATCAGGTGGTCAGGCTCGCTGACTTGGTTGACACATGTCATTGTATCCCAATTGCGTAGATCGATGCTCATACTGTTGATGACCGCCTCTGTGGTGTAGTGGTTAGAGCGTCCGCCCTGAGAGAGGAATGTTGAAGGCTCGATTCCCGGCCGCGTCATACCAACAGACGTTAAAATATGGTACTTGTTGGTCCCTGCCTGGCCCTCGGCATTAATGGGTACAACAAGGACTGGTCGGCTCGGAGTCAGTATAATGTGTGTGAGTGGGGTATTCATGCTTCACTGCGGCATAGTATCTCAGTGGGCTAGCACTATAAAACCAGCTTCAGTCTGGGCTAGTACAAGCAGCCACACATACACACGCATGCACGTTGTCAAATGAGTGAAATATTCTAAAGTGTGATGTTAAACCCCATTTCACGTCACATCACCTCATTCTGTTAATCACTGGATTGTCTGGTGCAGACTTGATTATTTACAGACTACTGCCATATAGCTGGAATACTGCTGAGTGTGGCGTTAAACAAGTTGACATATTCATGAAGAATATTTTACCATTGTGGGGGATATTGATGACTTGGTCAAAACTTGTATGCTAGACAGTGCATAACAGTGATGTAAAACAGCAAAATTATGAGAATGCTTAATTTGAATTTACTCTCTGTTGGTGTTTGACGACATAAGTAACGCCAGTGTGAATTAGACCCGAGGTGTGTGAACAAAATATGTGTTGTCTTTTTCAGATGCACATTGAGGCAGCAAAGATGCTACAATTCTCTGAAGAAGAATTTGTGAAGGCTCTCGAATGGGGAAACTGAAAATCCAATGAGTTTATCAACACATCTGCTGATACGGGAAAGCTTTTATTCCGTGAAGGGTGCACAGTGCCTCCGTCACCTACCAGTTCATGAAGCTGAGTTTAGACCAGGGAGCAACCAGGGGCAGACTCTGAAACAAAGGCACTTGTCATCAACTTACTTGGTGCGAGACATCACTGCAATGTATATAAGTTTTGAAAAAATAAACTGTGTACAGTTGTCGGCTAGTAGTTAGTTGTTGTCAAAGCAAAGAACTCTTTACAAGAACAAACTGCAGAGTCATCAAGTACCATGTATATCTGAAGAAAGTGTGAACTGTTGGACCTGTCCTCCTGTCAGGGTACCATGTAAATCTGAAGAAAGTGTGAACTAACTGTTGGACCTGTCCTCCTGTCAGGGGACGTCATTACTGGACAAGTGAACTAACTGTTGGACCTGTCCTCCTGTCAGGGGACGTCATTACTGGACAAGGCAGATGATTACCACTTAGACACGTAATATTTTCTGAGTTATGTACTCATGATACCATGCTTGTAAAGCAAGTCTAAAGACAAGGAATTATTGGTTGTTCTGTTTTTGTGGTGATATTTCTTTCTTACCTTGATGAGTAGAAGGTAGTCCGGGGCCTCAAGTGGACTACTGTCTGACATCTCACAATTACCCATGTAAAGCCGCGTGTGTTTTAGGCATGCTAGATATCTATGGCCCTTGATTTGAATTCGAATGTTTATTGACGTGTCCTCATCATACTTTGCTGATAATGTTGTGGTGGTAAATGTCTGAGATTTGTGTCACATTAGACATTCCCTCAACATGCAGCAGATTTGATGTGGCAGAACTGAAATACTGTTCAACCATTGTGTAACACACTCCAGGTAGCCAACCATTGTGTAACACTCTCCAGGTAGTCAAACGTTGTGTAACACACTCCAGGTAGCCAACCATTGCGTAACACACTCCAGGTAGCCAACCATTGTGTAACGCTCTCCAGGTAGCCAACCATTGTGTAACACTCTCCAGATAGACAACCATTGTGTGTGTAGACAACCATTGTGTAACACGCTCAAGGTAGCCAACCATTGTGTAAGACTCTCCAGATAGACAACCATTGTGTAACACACTCCAGGTAGCCAACCATTGTGTAACACGCTCTAGGTAGCCAACCATTGTGTAAGACTCTCCAGATAGACAACCATTGTGTAACACGCTCAAGGTAGCCAACCATTGTGTAACACACTCCAGGTAGCCAACCATTGTGTAACACCTTCCAGGTAGTCAACCATTGTGTAACACTCTCCAGGTAGCAAACCATTGTGTAACACACTCCAGGTAGTCAACCATTGGGTAATACTCTCCAGGTAGTCAACCATTGTGTAACACACTCCAGGTAGTCAACCATTGTGTAACACTCTCCAGGTAGCCAACCATTGTGTAACACACTCCAGGTAGTCAACCATTGTGTAACACACTCCAGGTACTCAACCATTGTGTAACACACAGCAGGTAGTCAACCATTGTGTAACACACTCCAGGTAGCCAACCATTGTGTAACACGCTCCAGGTAGCCAACCATTGTGTAACACACTCCAGGTAGCCAACCATTGTGTAACACCTTCCAGGTAGCCAACCATTGTGTAACACCTTCCAGGTAGCCAACCATTGTGTAACACCTTCCAGGTAGCCAACCATTGTGTAACACCTTCCAGGTAGCCAACCATTGTGTAACACCTTCCAGGTAGCCAACCATTGTGTAACACATTCCAGGTAGCCAACCATTGTGTAACACCTTCCAGGTAGCCAACCATTGCCAACCATTGTAGTAACATTGTGTAATTCCAGGTAGCCAACCATTGTGTAACACACTCCAGGTAGCCAACCATTGTGTGTAACACACTCCAGGTAGCCAACCAGTGTAACACACTCAGGTAGCCAACCATTGTGTAACACACTCCAGGTAGCCAACCATTGTGTAACACACTCCAGGTAGCCAACCATTGTGTAACACACTCCAGGTAGCCAACCATTGTGTAACACAGTCCAGGTAGCCAACCATTGTGTAACACTCTCCAGGTAGCCAACCATTGTGTAACACTCTCCAGATAGAGAACCATTGTGTAACACGCTCAAGGTAGCCAACCATTGTGTAACACTCTCCAGATAGACAACCATTGTGTAACACACTCCAGGTAGCCAACCATTGTGTAACACACTCCAGGTAGCCAACCATTGTGTAACACACTCCAGGTAGCCAACCATTGTGTAACACACTCCAGGTAGCCAACCATTGTGTAACACTCTCCGGTACACTCTCCAGGTATGCCAACCATTGTGTAACACTCTCCAGATAGACAACCATTGTGTAACACGCTCAAGGTAGCCAACCATTGTGTAACACTCTCCAGATAGACAACCATTGTGTAACACACTCCAGGTAGCCAACCATTGTGTAACACGCTCCAGGTAGTCAACCATTGTGTAACACACTCCAGGTAGCCAACCATTGTGTAACACGCTCAAGGTAGCCAACCATTGTGTAACACACTCCAGGTAGCCAACGATTGTGTAACACATTCAAGGTAGCCAACCATTGTGTAACACACTCCAGGTAGCCAACCATTGTGTAACACTCTCCAGGTAGTCAACCATTGTGTAACACACTCCAGGTAGCCAACCATTGTGTAACACATTCCAGGTAGCCAACCATTGTGTAACACACTCCAGGTAGCCAACATTGTGTAACACGCTCCAGGTAGTCAACCATTGTGTAACACACTCCAGGTAGCCAACCATTGTGTAACACATTCCAGGTAGCCAACCATTGTGTAACACACTCCAGGTAGCCAACCATTGTGTAACACGCTCCAGGTAGCCAACCATTGTGTAACACACTCCAGGTAGCCAACCATTGTGTAACACTCTCCAGGTAGTCAACCATTGTGTAACATCTTCCAGGTAGCCAACCATTGTGTAACACACTCCAGGTAGCCAACCATTGTGTAACACGCTCCAGGTAGCCAACCATTGTGTAACACTCTCCAGGTAGCCAACCATTGTTCACAGTTGACAGATATCAAAGCAATACAAGTAGTGTAAAATACCTCAGTCACAAGACATCCACAAACATTACTATGAAAACAGCTGTGTTATGAAGAGTCATCAGACCAACCTATATCCCATAATTCCCGGACAGCAAGTATCTCTTGCTGTTCATGTTGTCCGCTAAAACCTGATCTTACCAAATCATATAACTAAAAAACAATCTCTCACCCCCAACCAACCAACCCCAAACACAACAACATCCCCCCACACCCCACCCACACGCACACACAGACTCTCTCTTTCTAGATCTCGAACCAATGCTGGAGCAGTCCTTGTTAAGAGTGCCTTAATCTAACCCCAGATGTATTTATCCCCAAACACTAGCCAAACACAATCACTAGTGTGTTAAAGGAATCTCCCCATTTACCTTCAGTAGTTATCCCTTGAACACCCTGCATCGTAGACAGACGATGCAATGAAGTCTGCATGTCAGCGAATGGAAACATTTGTGAGGCACCGGTAGCTTTACCGCCAGAGGATAACCTCAAAGTTTCTATTCCAGAGAATTCTGCGTTGTGGTACATGGGCATAGACGTGTCCCAAAAGTGTCGCCCCAGTTGTTAAGAGGGAATTAGCCTCTATCTTCCTGTGCTTTTTGGTACCAGGACCATTTGTGTAAAAAAGCTGCATGGGAAGTCTGTCTTCCACATGCACTAGGCTGTTGTGTTTGGGCGTTTAAATCAAACATGGTGCTGGTGTGTTTCAGCACCCTTATTTTTCGCTGTTTTTAACAATGTTTCATTTCACTCAAACTCAACGAATATTGAATCAGTTGCTTCACTGCAAGTTCCAACATGTCGTTTAAAGTGCCCATTAAGCACACCAAAAGTTGCATTTACCTTAGTGTATAAATGACCTCACCACGTTTCAGTTTATATACGACTATCAAATTTTAGGGTGTTCCCTTATTTTTTGCTTGTAGTATATATTACCAACCACGGCCGGTGTGCTTGCACAGACTATTGACACATCGCCCTCCAGAACCTGGGAAAATGTTTCCTGTAACTGTAACCAACATTCGTCCACTCCTGATGAAAAAAGGTCAAACAATTTGTAAAACGCAAATTCCGATGCTACTCACTGGTTTAAAAATGCAGCTTTCCGGAACATTGAAGAAGGTCGGATCCACATAGTTTGTTTGATTCACCAGTACTGTCGACCTCATCATCGGCACTGAAAACAGCACGTTTAAACTACACGATTGGTAATGAATGTGGATGTCTAAATAAACGATAGTACACGTAATATGCTCATAATGCAGAAGCAGCTCTAAAGACTCACAATAGAGACATAGACAGACAGACAAGTATTTCATTATAGTCTCACCTATATTACAACAATACCTTGAGCCATATTGACATGTCAATTCATTAACTACGAGGTCAAGCAAATCGATATGTTCCCATGGGTCATATGGTATCTGGAGAAGCTCAAAAAAAGGACGGGCTCTGACGTTACATGGATTTTCACCTGTGCGATGTTTACCTTGACGTTTGTTATGCTGCACGTATTTAGTTCGATGGTCTGACTTGAATACGTTGTTGTGTCTTTTACTTAAATGGGCAATTTATTTAAATCGATAATATATATAAAAGAAGAACATGTTTTCAGCTTTCATTCACCCCAAATGTCGTCCATATTTGTCATTTCATGGTCAGCTGTGTGCAGGTGTGTTAAGTAAAACTGTTTTGTCTGCATTTAGCGCTTTTCTTAATAACATGGGATCGATGATCATGACGTCAATCACTGGATTGTCTGGCCAAGTCTCGATTGTTAAACAACAAACAAAACAAACTTGATAACATGGCTACATTTGACACTGCTTTATTGGAGTTCGGAATATTGGACTTGCATCCTTGCATACGTGAGTTTAGGTATGATAACAAACACGTTTGAAGGTTTATGGAAGGAATATGATTGAATACAAACTGAAGCATAAGCCCGCATTCTTCTGGGTGACACATCATGAAAAAATCAGTGTTACTGTTACTGCTTGGGCTCACCAATATTCCAACTATCTGTGATTGACAGCAGCAACATCCCAACCGGGGCAATACGATGTCGAAACTAGCCACCGAACCCTACTTTCTAATATTACTTTCAAGACCTCTTCTAAGCCTGAATTTATCAATACAGTGTCACTGAATGCATATTTATTTGTTATGCGAGATAAACATTCACTGGCATAATCAAACACAAAAGAACTATATGTCAGTCAAGCTTGATTTGTACGATAGTATACGGTAATGCAAATCTACGTGTTCAACGATTGCCTGACAAAAGCCGCAGGACCGAAGCCCCACAGATAAAAACCCTCGGACAAAAGCCCTTTAGGGCAAAAGCCCAAGACACCTCAGACAAAAGCCCCAGACACCTCATACAAAAGCCCCACATGATAATATATATACGAAAAAAATTCAGATTTAACAAGATTTATTTACATTCTAATATCTTTCAAAGTTCAGAAATGCAAAACTACCAAAAGGCACCACTCACCACTAGACCTACCATGTATGAAATTTGGTGAAGAAACATTGAACAGTTTTTAAGTTCTACTCCGGAAAAGAGCACTACCACCAATTTCAGTCAAACTTGTTGCCATGGAAACGCAAAAGGTATTTCATTCAGAAATCCAACACTACCAAAAGGCACCAGTAGAACACCAGATCTACCTATGTGCCAAGTTTGGTGAAGAAATATTGAACGATTTAGAGTTCTGCTCCGGAAAAGACAAATGTGCACGGACGCACGGACGGAGTGCAATTTAATACCCCCCGCAAAACACGTTGCGGGGGATAAAAATCAACGTAGCCCTATCCAATTAGAGCATTTGAACACATATTTTCTGAGCAGCAGTACTTGTCACATTAAATCACAAACAATTCAGCATAGCCCTATCCAATCTGAGAATATTTCTTAATACAGCACTTGTCACATCATATCACAACAAATCAGCATAGCCCTATCCAATCTGAGACTATTTCTTAATACAGCACTTGTCACATCACATCACAACAAATCAGCACAGCCCTATCCAATCTGAGACTATTTCTTAATACAGCACTTGTCACATCATATCCCAACAAATCAGCATAGCCCTATTCAATCTGAGAATATTTTCTTAATAAAGCACTTGTAACATCTTGTCACAACAAATCAGCATAGCCCTATTCAATCTGAGAATATTTTCTTAATAAAGCACTTGTAACATCTTATCACAACAAATCAGCATAGCCCTATTCAATCTGAGAATATTTTCTAAATACAGCATTTGTCACATCATATCACAACAAATCAGCATAGCCCTATCCAATCTGAGACTATTTTCTTAATACAGCACTTGTCACATCATATCACAACAAATCAGCATAGCCCTATCCAATCTGAGACTATTTTCTTAATAAAGCACTTGTCACATCATATCACAACAAATCAGCATAGCCCAATTCAATCTGAGAATATTTTCTAAATACAGCATTTGCCACATCATATCACAACAAATCAGCATAGCCCTATCCAATCTGAGACTATTTCTTAATACAGCACTTGTCACATCATATCACAACAAATCAGCATAGCCCAATTCTATCTGTAACTATTTTCTTAATACAGCACTTGTCACATCATATCACAACAAATCAGCACAGCCCTATCCAATCTGAGACTATTTTCTTAATACAGCACTTGTCACATCATATCACAACAAATCGGCATAGCCCTATCCAATCTGAGACTATTTTCTTAATACAGCACTTGTCACATCATATCACAACAAATCAGCATAGCCCTATCCAATCTGAGACTATTTTCTTAATAAAGCACTTGTCACATCATATCACAACAAATCAGCATAGCCCAATTCAATCTGTAACTATTTTCTTAATACAGCACTTGTCACATCATATCACAACAAATCAGCATAGCCCAATTCAATCTGTAACTATTTTCTTAATACAGCACTTGTCACATCATATCACAACAAATCAGCATAGCCCTATCCAATCTGAGACTATTTTCTTAATACAGCACTTGTCACATCATATCCGAATCTTACAGTGTGTCCAACATTCTCAAGAAACTCTGGAACAGTTTTTTATGTTTTATGTCCATACACAGGTTTTGCAGCCTCATTGCTTGTTGGTCACGGAGTTTCTTTGATCTTTTGGTGGGTCTGTCACTCCTGGCAAACTGGAGAAGCCGAGTGTCAGCCAGGGCCTGATCTCGTTGAAGTCCTGGTATTGCACGCCACAGGATGATTGTGACCAATCAACTTCTTGAATCCACTATTCCAGGATTCACAAATGTTATTTGTCTTGCTTCCCCCGTCAATAGCTGCCTGGTACACATTCCACACTGGTGGTGGAAACAGGGGAGGGGTTCTTCTCATGTTCATAGGTGGTGGGGAGCATCTGGGTTCAGTGCTGGCTGATTGATTATTCTATATGTCACAACGACATATGTACCTCGGAAGTAGGACACAAGGTCATCAAAGCCCTCAGGAATATTGGTTTCCAGGAATTCCAAACCAGCCGATACATCCTGGTGAGGAAGCAAAGCTAGGCCATCAAGCATTCCACAGAAGTGTTTGACATGGTCGTTCTCCTTTTCAAACCTTTGGATTACCCTTCTCAGGACCACCTTCCTCCTTAAGAACTCCTTGAAAAAACAACACTTAAGTGTCTTAATTAATCCTTTTCTTTTTTCTGTGAGGTTTTTGCAGAATTTTTGTCCTAAAAATAATAAAGTTGTTTAACAAACTATCATTAAGATATTGACACAGTTCATTGTTTGTTACGAGGGAGGAGTGCAGAGAAAGGGACAGCCAGGTGTTCGAGAAGCACGTTCACAAACAAAGTTATTTATTCATTAACCTGTGCTGTGCCGTCTCCATCTATTCTCCAACACCTGGCTGTCCCTTTCTCTGCACTCCTCCCTCGTAACAAATAGTGAACTGTGTCAATATTTTAATGATAGATTTTTATTTTTAGGACAAAAATTCTGCAAAAACCTCACAGAGTGGGTATGATGTTTTGATTATGACCAGTGTTTCATTGAGTACTTTATGTTTATTAGTTTTCGAGTTAGATTGCAATTCATCGGTCCGCTTTTGAGCCAAACGGACTGTAGTGTAGCTGGGCGATCTCATGTCAACAAACTGCTTTTGTAGTGGAAATAGCGAGATCGCGCGAAACCTCATCGGTGACAGGTCAAATTGTTCCATGTATAAAAACTGTCCGGCAATACACCAAAAGGTTACCTTAGTTATGATTATAAATATTTCACATTTATAGAACACAGCCAACAATTAAAGTGACATAATACTAGGTTATATTTCTCTTTATAAAATAATGGTTTCAGATACTATATGTTTAAGATCACTGCATCAGAATTCATCTTGTTATATTATCGGGCACGTTTTAACTAAATCACCGGAAGGGGCCCGTGTGCACTGCACAGCTGATTTCCGGCGCTGTATAAGAGACAATTACACACGGTAATCTTAATCCCTGCATATAAGGCAATGCCTTGCAAAAACAAATTGTATAGCAACAGAGTCACATAGTGTCACGTACCAGCGTTTACAGAGCCATACACTGTTTCTGATACCAAGGCACAGTCCTTCTCTGTGACTGACAGAAATCCCATAAGCCCCTGATCAGTAATCTGGTACGACTTTGCAAACATGTGTTCCCCATACTTCTCCATGGAGCCAAACCAGTAGTGGGACATCAGAGTTGAGTTGGCTGAAACAATAAACATAATATATAATGGTGTTTTATGGCATCGTGATTTGCACATTGTGGAAAGGTCTTGCACAGTAACACAGATGCAAATAGGACTGACATAGGAACATGGAAGAAAGTTTGTAACACTGTCAATAGGTCTGGCGTAGGAGTAGCTTATTAACTTAAAGGCACTATTTCACACCACACTTCTCTAAAAATAAATACTGCCTTTCTCTCAATAATACTATCAGCCCTCAGAGAAGCTACCATATAATTTATTCCCCCCAAAATGAATGAATGAATTCATGCAACATTGCTTTAAATCGTTTTTCGTGCCCTATACATTATTTCAAGGGAACCCCATAGAGTTATGTCCCTTTGAGCGCTCTTTACGAATACCCTACACACAACTTGTGATAGAAACCAGTTAGGCAAACACCGACAACACCTAGACTAACGCTTAGTCTCTGAATATATATAATTTTGATAGTAACAAACAAACCCATTGAAATTGAAAAGGAGCCCAAGGCAGACCAGAGATTCAGATTCCTGAACCTGAGGAAATCTAGACTCGCTTCATTTAGGGCTTTAGCAACGCAGAGAAGGCCAGGCTGTAGGGAAAATAATGTGGTTCAGGTACTGTGAGACAGACTAGGGCAACACCGTGTGCGACAGTTGGGTGGTGGTGGGTGTGTGGGTGGGTGGGTGGGGGTGAAGGTCCATCTGGTCAGTCTTACTCTTCGGAAGATGATGGGGATAAGATGGTAATGTTGCCTTTTCATGAATAAAAACCCGAAATCCGACTTCGCCTTTTTCACCTGTCACTTGTGCAGGGAAAGGGGTCACATGTCTATGACCAAAAAAGCATCTTGCCTAATTGTCTCCATGTATATCGAAATACATGACCGTAAACCTCGAAGTTTTGCCGAGATGTGTGTACAAGCAAAAGATTAACGATCATATAACGCAATAGAACTAACTGTTGAACCACAGACAAAAACAAAGGACAAAAAGTCTCAAAATCGGATTTTCTACCCTTGCTTACTTCAAATTACAATGGAGTTCAGAGGCACCAAATACTTTGTAATATTTTTAATGATAATTTTGTAGAAAATGTATTTCATGTCATATTTGAATGTAAAATTATCATGATTTGTGCTGTAGGTATTTTACAGCATTACCAAATTACATAGATCAGCAATACTTTCTGAACACATTATCACGCACCAATTTTTAACAGCAACAAATTGTTCTACATACAATATGGAAGTATTGTCATTGCGTTCCTATCAATCTGACGGTTAGTTGCCACTATCTTATAATTACACTTGTTAGTTTGTATTGTACGTGGGCCTAAGGCCTTGTTACTAAATAAACCTGAGTGAATTATAATAGGGGCGGTAGGGTAGCCTAGTGGTTAAAGAGTCTGCTCGTCACGCCGAGGACCCGGGTTCGATTCCCCTCATGGATACAATGTGTGAAGCCCATATCTGGTGTCCCCCGCCGCGATATTGCTGGGATATTGCTAAAAGAGGCGTACTCACTCAAGTTACAATGATAACATTTACATATTGATGTAATAAAATATTTTAACATTCAAAGTCTAAGATTCAAAGATGAAATTCTAAATTTGTAGAAAATATAACTGACTCCTATTCAACAACAGGTGACATTCAGTCCCTTCCTATTGAACAGGTCACATTTATAAACTAATAACTACTTAAATATAGACAAATGTACAATTTGAATTTTTTTTAAAGTGTGTGAGGTATTTTGGTTGTTGGTCTAATATCCAAAATATTCAAAATATACCATAGAACTGACTTGATTACTTCGGTGCTGTCGCCATTTCTCTTTTCCCTTTATGGTATTGACCTTGAGTCGCTTCGAGTCAGTCAGATTAGAGCCAGCACGGAATCTAAATGATTAAATTTCAACAGGAACTGGAGTTTGTATTTTGGGGATTCTTCATGTCAGTGGTACTGTCCTATGTCGGAGACACCTTTCGTAACCCGCAGGTTACCTGCATCTATAGTATACTGTCCAAAATGTCTTCATTTGCGTCAGTATCTTGTGATAAGTGCTTAACAAACACATCCGAAAGGTGCTTACAATTTGTCCTTCAGCATATATTGAGCTCATGTTATTTCATTCAGTTATGGGAAATGCTGTGTTGTGTATATCAAGTGAAGTTAGTAATACTCAAGGGCCATTGATTGACTGGCTCCACACATTCGAACCCTGTGATAAATCTTGTTTGTGTTGGTATTCATATCTGTAATTAATGTATTAAAATATGTCTAGTTAATTTGGCAACAGATGTACAGAGTATCCTTGCCTGGTACACAGCCGATCTTGTCCTTCTGCTGGAGGGTGGACTTGACGCACTCTCTGCCCTTTATAAGATACTGGACACCCTGTAATGTAAATACAAATGAGTATTTCATGTGCCAATAACCTCTCCCAAAACAAACGGTAGTTTCCACATATGTAGGTCAGCGGTCAAAGTAGGATACTGCACCAATACACTTTTATTTGCAGCTAAATTACACAAAGTAGAAATGTCTGTTATCACCAATAAATCAACAAATTGTTTGTCCCTTAATCAACGTTCCATGTGTAATGTCGGTTCACAAGTGGATATTATTGTCAGTACCTCATTGTGATCACCAGGTGCTTTCAAAACTGATCATCGACTCGGCGTGAATGCAAGAAATATTTGCCAACCCGCCCTGGAATGCGCGAAACAGCTTCCATAGGGTCTGGGTTCGAGGCTGACGTTGACGCCACTGTGTCGATGTAACTCAACACAAACGTTCCAGGGGCATAATATCTGACGATTTGCAAGGCCTGTGAACACTGTGTCTACTCATTTTGGAGACGACCAAGACTGACATGGCATACTCATGCTTGAAATATTTCCTCTGAGAGTCAGTAAAAAGAAAATAAGTGATATTATTTTTAGTTTGTCTGTACGAGATAATCCGTTCATGGACATCATGTGCATCAATCTACGATGACATACATGAACCAAGTCAGCGAGCCTGACTACCCGATCCCGTTAGATAGAGATCGAGGTCCCGATTACGTGTGCATCAATCTACGATGACAAACATGAACCAAGTCAGCGAGCCTGACTACCCGATCCCGTGAGATACAGTTCGAGGTCCTGATTACGTGCACAAGGTTAGATATCTGCGTTTATCTTACCTTCATGTAAAATACTTTAATTTCATTGATCATTGACGCTTTAACAAGTTTCCGTGTCACCCCTTCCAGGAGGGTGACAATAGGAAGAAATATTACCCGCTGCCACGGTAACCGCCAAACTCTCCGCCGAGAAGCTGTATCGCTAACAATCGTATGACGTTAATAATATGACGCATGCAGTGCACGGAGTTCGAAAACCGTTCGATAACTGATTTTGAGTTTACTATGTACACACGTATTTTACCGATTTTCACTGCTTGTTTAAACTATTTTATACACTGTGAACATCGTTTGCACACTCAACTTAAACATAATTAACCATTTTTATAGCAGTTTTAAGATTGTCAGATTGTTTCACTAATTATAAAAATGCAGTCGAGAGGCAGACGCCATTTTGTTTACATGTCATGAAGTCGGTAGCGAGCTTATCGATCTTCAAAACAAAATTAAATGATATTTTGTACCTTTAACCTGGCGGTAAGATAGATACGCTGTAAACTTCTCCCACGTGTAATACGGTCTGATGTACGCCTTTTAGTAGCCTGCCCTACCGGCTCGTGTAATACTGCAACACATCAGACAGTATTACCCTCGAGAGAAGCATACAACTTATAGTATCTCTGTCGGCTGTGGTGCAGAAACCAGATTCGAAAGATTCTGAACGATTGAACCCATCGACGTCGATGGAGCCATCTCCCCTCAGAGCAAAAATGGTCTTCTGTTTGGGAGTCTAACCTGACCTTGTATTCTTGTTGTGTGTTAAAAATACGAGCAATGACGCTATGAACATTGACATGAGGTGTGGAGACACGGTAGTGGGTTGGCAGCACTGCCCACAAGTCCCATACATTGCGAGGGAATAGATCTTTCTCTGGCATTTCGTGAAAAGTGAAAAGGAACTTGATGGTGCAACTGTTACAATCTGACACCATGTCAGAAATATAGCTGAAATTACTGCTCTCCATTCCACCTACGCGTTTAATGACCTGTTTGAAAGATATTTATGATTAATTACTGAATAAGAAAGTGGCACCTCCATCATTACATTTTAAAGCAAACACAGCAAGCACCGCAAACACCCCCAAACACCGCAATATGTAATTCTACACTTTTTCAGCACTTATAAAACTTCTTTCATTGGTGTTACCTATGCATACTGCTTTAACATGACACACTTAATTAAAACCCACTAACCAGCTCTTGCCAAGGAACTATTTATGAGTCGAATAACATGATTTTCCTCAACCGTTCCCATTTTCAACATCTGACCGGACACGTGAGTTTCGGGTTCTGATTAGCTGAGACCAATTATTATAGTTTTAATGTACCTTGCTAACATATTACTTACGAAAGTCGCCGTTCTCCTGATTTCATAATTATCCTTAATACGTTTATCCAGGTAGAATAACTTTGTAAAATGTCATCTGCCTCGATGGATGTGAAATGGAAGATAGTTGATTGATTCCTAAATGTGTTTTCTCACCATTTCTTACCAAAGCACATGTATGTATGCATAAGACATATGTGATATATAAACAGGTGTGCGATATTGTCAAGGGGTGACATGCGCCAGTGGGCGTACCCTCCATATAGACTAGACATTGTGATTAAACATGATTAAACCAATCCAATAAGATTAGTATTACGGTCCGATATTTACTAGCTACAAGAACAAACTGTGCAAATAGGAAATCAATGTACGCGTAGAAATACAGATGTAATCACAGTGAACATAAATGCGTGTGCTACGTTTCGTGACGTCAGTGATTTCGGCATGGTCAGGTGCAACACGTTTGTGCATGTGCATCTCGATAAACTACGTGGAGCTCATGACTGTCAAAACTGCTGGCGATTGGAGATGTTATTTGTTTGACGTTTGATTGTCAAACAAAGTAACGGCTAATGATCATTCCAGGACTCACGACTGCACAAAGTCATGACGCTGTTGGGATGGCCGTGGGGGATGTCTCAACATCACACAGTCATGAAGCTGTTGGGACGGTCCGTGGGGGATGTCTCAACATCACAAAGTCATGAGGCTGTTGGGATGGTCCGTGGGGGATGTCTCAACATCACAAAGTCATGAGGCTGTTGGGATGGTCCGTGGTGGATGTCTCAACATCACAAAGTCAGGCTGTTGAGATGTCTGTTGGGATGGTCCGTGGGGATGTCTCAACATCACAAAGTCATGAGGCTGTTGGGATGGCTGTTGTCTCAACATCACAAAGGATGGTCCGTGGGGATGTCTCAACATCACAAAGTCATAAGGCTGTTGGGATGGTCCGTGGTGGATGTCTCAACATCACAAAGTCATAAGACTATTGGGACGTGGGGGATGTCTAAACATCACAAAGTCATGACGCTGTTGGGATGGTCCGTGGGGATGTCTCAACATCACAAAGTCATGAGGCTGTTGGGATGGTCCGTGGTGGATGTCTCAACATCATAAAGTCATGAGGCTGTTGGGATGGTCCGTGGGGGATGTCTCAACATCACAAAGTCATGAGTCATGAATATCATCCTGAATTTTATTTACGTGTATTTAGACACATGCCTCGCTCTTATAGACGTGCTTTAGCACTTTTTAGATGTGGTGTTGCTCCTCTAATACCCCGTTTACATGGACACTTTTTGCTCACGTGTGTATATTTGCATATGGTGTATATTTACATGCGCAAGTAAAAGTATATTTACTTTGCGTTTACATGAAGAATTAGAACCTGTATGTATATTATGATGTGGTCTTTTGTTTGTCTCATTTGGAGTTTTTCACATCTGAAGCAAGCATCATACGTGGCGGAGAGATATACATGAATGTTGAAGCGAACAAATCAAGATTTTCCTATGCTTCTGAACTCTGCACTTATTTTGGCTTTAACAAAACAGAGAAATGTTTGGGAAAAGAGAGATCAAGTCATTGGTGGCAAAACATTGTCAAATGACATTTTCAGATAATGAATGGGTTGACAATTTTATATGTCTAAAGCTACATTTGACCTTCTGTGAGAAGAACGTCAACCCTTTCTGCATAAAGACTCAACTCGAGTGAGGGAGCGCCTTGATGTTGACCACAAAGTTGCTATAGTTGTATACTGGCTAGCAAATTCGACAGACTACAGAACAGTCAGTAATTTGTTTGGAGTATCCAAAGCCACTGTATATATTTGTGTCAAAGATGTGTATACCACCTTGGTGGACATCTCCTGCCCAAGTATGATTGATAGGTAGATATTCTTTATTTCCTCCAATTGAATGAAGATTACAATATGCAGTATATTTTATAATATATTTTAGGTCAAATGATTAAGATGGATTAGTGTTATAGACAAGAATGTTCATATACATAGCAGGTATCGCCATTTCCTTATAAAATGGCTTACATTAATTATTACTTTTGCCCACACATCTCTCTCTAGTTCCATAATAGGGACGGTGGGGTAACCTAATGGTTAAAGCGTTGGCTCGTCACGCCGAAGACCCGGGTTCGAATCCCCACATGGGTACAATGTGTGAAGCCCATTTCTGGTGTCCCCCGCCGTGATGTTGCTGGAATATTGCTAAAAGCGGCGTAAAACTCAGTCAGTCAGTCAGTCCATAATACATTTTATTGGACACCCACCAAGTAAGAATAACATCATCGTCTTGATCCCAGATCTTAACAAACGTATCTACATCCAGAATATCACATAAGGTGTTAAAGAGTTCATTGTGGTCATTCATATTGATCGTCCATGACATAAACACGTGCTTTACAATATCATTGGCGACAGTTTTACAATAACATTCTCTTGATTCATAGAAAACAAGTCTTGCAATATCAGTTAACTGGTCATTCTACTCTGTGAGATAGTGTTCATTCCTGGGTCTCTGTGGCTAGCATCCAGAGATAGTGTTCATTCCTGGATCTCTGTGGCTAGCATCCAGAGATAGTGTTCATTCCTGGATCTCTGGGGCTAGCATCCAGAGATAGTGTTCATTCCTGGACCTCTGGGGCTAGCATCCAGAGATAGTGTTCATTCCTGGATCTCTGTGGCTAGCATCCAGAGATAGTGTTCATTCCTGGGTCTTATACTGACATATCTTGACAGACCAAGTCTTGAATTACGATAAACATAAATTATTGTCTCGATGAGATTTAATAGCATGATTTACGGCCTTGGACCAGCATTTTTTAATTAATAAATTGACAATAACTGACATAGTTAGC